CCTCTCTCTCTCCCTCTTCCTCTCTCTCTGCCCTCTCCTCTCTCTTCTTCCCTCTCTATCTTCTCTCCCTCTCTGCTCTCTCCCTCTCTCTCTCTCCCTCCTCTCTACTCTCTCCTCTCTCTCTCCCCCCTGCTCTCTCTCCCTACTTCCTCTCTCCCCTCTTCTTTCTCCCTTCTCTCTCTGTCCCCTCTCTCTCTCCCTCCTCATCTTCTCCCCCTCTCATCTCTCTCCCGCCTCTCTGCTCTTTCCCCTCTCCCTTTCTTCTCTCTCTCCCTTCTCTCTTCTCCCTCTCTCTCCTCTCCCTCCTTTCTCTCTTCTCTCCCTCTCTCTCTCCCTTTCTCTCTTTCTTTCCTTCTTCTCTCTCTCTCCCTCTTGGACTATGGCTCTTCTTCTTCTCGGGTCAAGCGTCCCCTCTTCTCTTCTCCCTTCTCCCCTCCTCTTCTCCCTCTCTTCTCTCCCATCCTCTCTCTCCCTCTCTCGCTCCCTCTCTCTTCTCCCCCTCTCTCGTTTCTCCGCCTTACTCTTCTCTCTCCCCCTTTTTTCTTTTTTTCCCTTCCTCTTCTCCCTCTCTCTCTCCCCTCTCTCCTTTCTCCCTCTCTCCCTCCCTCTCTCCCCCTTTTCCCCCTCCCTCCTCTCTCTCCTCCTCTCCTCTCCCTCTCTCTCTTCCCCTCCTCTTCTCTCCCTCTCTCTCTCCTCTCTCTCTTCCTCTCTCTTCCTCTCCCTTCTCACTCTTTCCCTCTCCTTCTTCCCCTTCTCTCTCGTCCCTCTCTCTCTCTCCCTCTCTCCTTCTCCCTCTCTCTCTCCCTCTCTCTCTCTCCCTCTCCTCTTCTCTCCCTCTCCTTCTCTCTCCCCTTCCTCTCATCTCCCTCTCTCTCCTTCTCCCTCTCCCCCCTCCACTGCCTCCTTCTCCCCCCCTCTCTCCTCTCTGCCCTTCCTCCTCTCTCTGCCCTCTCCGTCGTCTCTCCCTCTCCTCTCTCTCCCTCTCCTCTCCTCCCCTCTCCTCTCTCTCCCTCTCGCCTCTCTCTCGGCCTCTCCTCTCTTCCCTCTCCTCTCTCTCCTCTCTCTCTCTCTCTCTCCTTTCTCTCTTCCTCCTCTCTTCGCCTCTCTCTCCTCTCTCTCCCTCTCTCTCTCCTCTCTCTCCTCTTCTCTTCCTCTCTCTCCTCTCTCTCTCTCTCTCCTCTCTCTCTCTCTCTCTCTCTCCTCTCCCTCTCCTCTCTCGGAATGCAAGAAAGTTATCCTTGCATTCTTCTTGAATTGTTTCGTCTTTTCTGATTAATAAAAAAGGTTCAAGGTACTTCAGAATTTTCATAATAATTTGGAAATCACAAATTGATTTTCCAATTTTATTATAATAAGTATTTAAGGATCGTCCAATGTGCATTCAATTTTTATATTAGTTCATTATTAATACCAGTGGTAGTAACACAGCTTTTAAAAAGTTTGTTTGCACCTTTCTTAATCTGTATTATTTCAATCTTGGAAATTCTGAAATTTATAGTCTCTGAACCAGAATAGGTTCTGGATTGGAGTGTAAGGGTATTGTTAAGCATTATGTTTTATTAAATGTGTCCCTTAATAGTTATTGCAGGGCATTATCTTCAATTAAGGATTTTAGACAGGTAAGGGGCAGACATACTCAAGTTGAGCTTATGGTGTGTGAACAGTTGATTCAAGGCTTCTAGAATGACTGCAATGGTTTTAATATTATATTTGTTTCTTAGTAATGAACTAGTTTGTATCGATTAGAAATAAACATATTGTCTGCAGAATGATAATTGTATTTGTGCTTGCTGAAACAAGCTACTTGAATCTTCCTGTCTGTCTTCATCCACTTTCGCTCTCCTTCTCTTGTCCCCTCATGCCCATAACCATATGACCTGTTTTTTTCCTCAGGACCCCTTGGCGATTTGTGGAAACGCTGTTTGTGTATCATTCAGTGTTTCCTTGCAGGAGAAATGGACAGTGAAGTTGAAGAGTATTTGCCTGAGCAGAGTTGCGAGACTCTCGCTCTCTTGCAGCAAGCTACAGAACCTGTAGATGAAGAACAAAGAGAAGAGTCCCTTATTGTTGAAGAATTTGGGTTAGATTTGGATACAGCTGGTGAGATAAACTAATGTATTACTTAAATTTAATCAAGTGCAGGTTTTCAATTTGTGTTTCCCTGTTCTTACTTATGAGGTCAAGTTTTTGTACCAATACAGATTTGAATTTTGTTGGGATATAAAAAATGTATACACCATTTATCCATTTATGAATATTTATTTACCATTTATTATCCACTTATGGCCATAATTAAAGATTTTTAGCCCTTGTATGGTAAGGTCCAGATCAGATGCAACCCACACAAACGTATCTTCAATTCTGTCTCCCTTTTCATCTCAACATCACATAATCTTAAAAGTCCTCTCCTTTATTTGATCTTAACTGTCCTAGTGGCTGCATTGCTCAGATGTGATATGTTCTAGTAGTAATAGTTTCCATTTGAATGTGCATCAAATTAGGCCAGATATTGCACATTGTACATTTAATGTTATAGTATTTTTGTTAAATTTGGTTGTATTGGTCCTTCTTTAGCCTTTACAAACTACAAGATGTATTACAAAATGTATCCATCAACTCTGAAACAAATGATAGTTTAAATTCTGTAGAAGATGTAGAAGATTCTTAAAAATGATAGTTAAATTCTGTAGAAGAATCTTACAGATTTGGCTGCTGGATTGGAAGAAAATATAACATTTTAAGATGTCAATATGACTTAAATTTGTCTCGGAAGACACAATTGAATTCATAGGAAACATAGAAAATAGAGAAGACAGTTGGAAACAAAAGCATCAAAGTCAGGCCCGTAATGGAAAGCATACCAAGAATATTGAGATCGTAGCGATCTTCTTGTTATGAGCGGAACATGTTTACTGGTTTTAAAACACCTCTTCCATTAAGCATTACCAACCTATCAAGCGAAAGGGTGACAAAGCTCATGCGGATGGAAATGCATGAAGTAAATGGAATGAGACAGATTTATGCAAATTTATTTGAGAAGTAGCACGCAATTCATTGTTTATTTGGACCCCCTTTTACAGGCTCTACAAAGTGAAGGAAGTGGTTCACTGCCATTTACATGTTATTTTGAAGAAAACAGTACTAAAATATTGCACACAGCAAAGCATACAACAATAAAAAGTTTTTGCATGACGATCGCTATGAACTGTTTCCCTCCACAACTTCTTGTGTATGTTTTTAGCATAAAAACATTCCAAAGGAGTAATTTGCCATTTGAGCAGTGAATTTCGAGAACAATAAGAGCATTGCATTTTGGGCGGAATAAGGTTTAGTTTCACCACCCAGCCAACACCAGTCTGTTCCGTCGAGACAATTAATGATAACTGCATTAAATTAAATCTTGACATTCTCAAAACTCAAATAGGCACAAACCAAAAAGTATAGCCAGAAAAAAAAATCCTAATTGCAGACAAACGTGTTCGAAACAGCAAGTTAATGCCACGGTTGGTATACTACATATTTTGCAAGTAGTGGGGATCGTTTTATGAATAAGCGAATGCTCAACTCCACTCCCAACCAACAATTGCTGGAATAGGTAATGTTTTTGTTTGTTATTTATGTTTGAATAAGAATACCTCTTTGTTTTCTTTTACAACTTTCTTTCAGAATGATTAAAAATGCATTTGTGTTGCAACTGATCGTCCTTGCTGTTATGGCAAATAACATCTTGTCTTTAAAGGGTTAAAAAGTAAATATAGCATTTAGGATTAATTATCCAAAAACTTGCTTTTCTTTTTCTCAAACGTAATCCTCAGACTTAATTTTACCTTCTCAACACCTCTCCTTAAACTGGTTTTTATCTTTTTGTTTTGTATTTACTTCTAAAAGAGGATTAATTACACATTTCTCTTTATCTTTTGATTGTTCGAAGCATATTATGCAATTTTTCTAATGTAATATTATGCTTGTAACAATTTAGATGTTTTGTTTTGTCTGAACTTTTTAATATTTCACTTTTATGTTTTAATTCTGAAAATAAAATCTTCATTTTTTTATTATCTGATCTGATTTTATTATCATTCAGATCAAAAAAAATTATCTAGCCAGAAATGTGACCAGTTACTTGTAAAACTTTGGCAGCAAGACTGTTAACTAGCAAATCTGTTTAAATGTTACTACCTACCTTTATTTACAGAAATTGAATGAATTTAAATAATACATTTAAACCGCAGTTTTGATTTGCAATCTTATTGGACAAAACAGCAAAAAATTTAAAAATCTGGAAGCAAAAGTATATTATGTGTTACACGTGGTAAGCAAAATAGTTATTTTATTTTCATTAGTTAGTGATCCACACGTATTATTGAATAGATATAATGGAAAGGCCTCTTCATAAATAAGACACACATCATGGAATATCCTTCTCTTTTTCCTTTTTTTCTTCAAAGGAAACTATTAAATAATAAATTTTAAAAATAGAATGAGCAAAAGTTATGAATGAAGATAGTATAACATTTTTCCAGAATACTTGATTAACTTGAAATTAAAATGTAATGATTTTATGAAAGCATTCTCTTTGGTTTTTTGTTAGAAATTGGGTTTTGTTTTGTGAAGTTTTCCTAAAGCAATAACTATAAATGTTAAAAATGAGCTTTTTCTCAGGAAAAAGCAAATTGTCCATCATTCCCTGAAATTGAATGAAATCTATAATCACATTAGTCTCGGATCAATTTGAAATCCTTGTCTCCCCTCCCTTCCTCGCTTGCCTCTTTTCCCCCGTCCACTTTCATACCCCTCCTTTTTCCATCCCCTCTCCTTTCCTTGCTCCTCTCATATTCTGTCTCTTCTTTGTTTTGCATATTTAATATTTGTTCATGAATATATTCTGTTTCAATCAGTATGCATCTTCAATAGTATGCTATCAGTATGCAACAAGGAGGGACAAGCAATATCCTGTGATGTCCATCAACTAACAGAGGTAGAGAAAGTAGTGTACTCTGCTTCGAAAGGTTTCATATGCTTGTTGTCTTAATATGTACTGCTTAAATTGTAAATAAAATAAGAAAAGAAAAGGCAACATAGAAACTCTCTGAGATAGTAGTTATAAGGATTAAAGGCTGATTTATTTTTGTTTTGCAGAGAAGCATTGGGTGTATTGTTTAATATTTCTATCAATTTTGTAATTTTGAACTTTATGGGCATGATTGTGTTTTCCAGATGCAAGCATCCTGGGCCATGATGATGGTAGTACTGATGGCTTGGATATGAGTGAATTTGATTTGTCAGCTCCTCCATCTTTGGGAGGGAGCACTACCAATAGCCACACAAACAACAGCAACCATCACCTGCCAGCTCAGACTGCTATTCCTAGAGGGGGGCTGAGAAGAAGGCATGATTTAACTGTTGACGATTCCGACTCGGATGATGAAGTGGGTGATGGCATTCACTTCCAAAGTCACCATTTTAACCAGGACTCGTCTGAAGAAGAAGAGCAGGCATTTGTTCAAGGGTTGGTCTTCTCTGAACCTGTGAGTTCTACAGCATCGGGAACCACTACAAATTCCACCCAGGCAGCTCCCTCTACTTCATTAGGGGAAATGTTGACTTCGTCTGCTGTCAACATTGTCTCAAAGAATATTTGTAATTTGGCTGCATTGCATTCAAGTGTGATCTCATCCGTAATCAATGCAGCAGTAGTGAAAGTATCTGCTCAGCAGATGCCGCAGCAAGAGCAGGTTGCCAAGGGCCAAAAAGGGACCCGAGGCACCAACAGGGATGATTCTTCTTCCTCTGGTGGTGAGAGCGAGTTCGAGATGATCTCTCATAATGATCTAACATAATGAACTTGGGTACTAAAGAGTCAAAATTGTATTATTAATTTTGAAAGTAGATTTTTGCAGATATCAACTGGCCTGTTTAAAATAATTATTTGCCATTACTCTTCATTCTCTATTTGAATTAGAATTTTAAACAATTTGACTTCAGGTAAATTTTCTTATGGGGGTGGAAGGAGACTTGATTTTAATCTTCATTTCTGAGTCATGATATTATTTTTATTTCAGATGATTGTGAACCAATGCAAACTTAGAAAAAAATAGTTTTGATAGAAACAGGCACTTACAGTTAATAAATGAAAGTTTTTTAACAACTCTTGGATAGCCAAGTAAAAGTCAACATAGCTTGCATACTGTGATTTGTGATTGGAGCATGGAGCCTTCCTCTGCAGTTGGGAAGGCTTTTGTGTTCCAATCACACAAGCTATTCTTAAAAATTTTTTTGTTGAAACCAAGTGAACTTTTTTTAACTGTAGTGCCTTTTTTTTAGATTGTCATGCTTTGTCACAATTATTTGCAATTTTATGCAGGAAACCAACTTATATATACTTTTAACATTGTTTACGTGGGAATGTTTATTCATTATTTCTTTTTTTGTGCTTTTTTATTTATTGTGGCCAGAGAAGTGAATTGAAGGTGTAAATATATTTTCATGAATTTCTAATAATTTATAAATGTAAAGAAAATACTGCTCTTGATACCGTGTAATGCCTTACATTTGACTATTTTGTAGTATGTAAAAATTAATTAATTTTAATAGACATTTACAGCACGTATGAAAAACATACTAGCAGGATTGTCTTCTTGCAGGTTTTGGGCTTTTACCCAGTGTTGTAATTGCATTAATGGAAATCAAAATTGAATGTTTTTCAAAGATACAGGATTTAATTAGAATATTATATATAAAAGAGCAGCAAAAACCAGAAATGGGATATATCTTGAGAAGAATAACCTATCTCATCCTGCTGTTAATGAGGTCATAAATTATTGATTTGTTGGTAAATAAAAAGAATTGTCTAAATGGATATAAATGCTCTTCTAGATGCTCTTTACCCATATAGTTAAAATAAATTTGCACTTTTTCTTTAGAAGTAACACCACTTCCACATTTCTAATATTTGATCCCTTCTAATGATAGGCATGACATTTTTACTCCAAACATGCAAACATAGAAAATAGAAACTGTTGTTTCTTTTTACCCAGGTACTGAAAAGGATAATATATCAAAATGCTCATTAGAATGGTGGGGTGACTTTCTGATTCATACCTGTTAATGTGAATGTAGGAGGCATGTCTAGTAATGTGCTAAAATGAAATTAATGGTAGTTTTTTGGAGAAAAAAAATTAATAGCCAATTACAATATAATACAATACAATACACTTCGTGGAAGTAATGCCTATAATTTTTCCAGGTCTGATTTGGAATTTGTATTTTGAGTGTCTGAAAGTTAGATGGTTTCAGCAAATGTTTAATTTTGTTATGCAAAGTAGCACTCGTAAATTAAAATTTAAGAGTTACTGTTGAATCTCGTAGATTCTTTAAAATGGAAAACGAAATTCAGATACAATGTTAATTAACAAGAAATATAATATTTAGGTCATGTACTATTTCATTATTATTATGATGTAGTCTGGTTTGCTCATTGTTACATTTATCCATTAATTTATTGAAGATTTGAGATTTTCCTTTTTAAATGTCCATTGGTGTTCATTAAAATACAGAGAAGTCATGAAATTTTTTCTGCGATTTGATATACTATTCTTCATTTCTAGCGTCATTTTACTAATGTGGACAATCATTGAATTTGTTATCAGAGTGCAATGAAAGAAGAAATTGAAGTCAAAAGACTAAAGTGTCAAGTATGGAAAGCTATGTAAATACTTCAAACTATTATTTAATTAAAGAATAAAGAAGGAAAAGTATTGAAATTTTAAACAAACTTTGTTGTATATCATTTCAATTGGTTACTCGGACCCCTAGTTTCACCAGCTTCACTAGAAAGAGAAACTGCTTTGTTCTTGCTTGAGCAGTGAGCAAATTTTTACCACTAGTCCTTTTGTAGTAGAAATGAATATCTGAAATCTAAAACCACTTTTGAAAAAAATATAGATTCTTGTATTATCTTTTAGAATCCACCACACATGCTTGAAATTGTTGCAAATAGAGTAGTTTCTAAGGATAAATGCAATTCGAAATTTACTTTAATATAATTATACAAAGATACTTCTTGACATGAATCATTGAGGAAAATATGGTGCTGCTGTCTTTCTTTTGATCCTTGAATATCTTAATATGTTAATACTTGTAAAAATGTTAATACTTTTGAGGCTTGACAATCATCACAGTATTGCATACAGTGATATTTTCATATTTTAATTATGTTTTGAAAGAATATGAATTTTCACAAATTTAGAATAATAATTATGAAGGAATTATAAAACATTTCCACTGATTAATCCAGCATTGTCATATATTTATCCCTTTTCTAAAATAGTTTTCATTGTTTAAGAATAACTGTGATGGTCAGTGAAAAAGTTTCATTATTACTATCATGTTAAAGTGTTTTGTGCAGTAGAAAGTTTGTAATTCATTTGGAATGTTACGTAATTGAACATTGAGTAATGTTAATGTTCTGGGAACAAATTAAGAAAGATAGAAGTTGGTTGATTGTAAAGTAATTAATGGTTTTGTATTTTAAAGCAGGAACTACCTGTTGCTGTTACCATCAAAATTTCAGTCATTTGAAAAAAAAGTGTGATTGTTTTGTATTGTACTTTTAAGAATAAGTTTCTAAAGAAGCTCCTTTTTATTAATATGATATCATTAATATTAATTCATTTTATTTATTTAACATTACTATGATTATGAAAGGTACTTATTTTTATTGTACTGAGAAATGATGTGGTCGGTGAAAATTATTATACCAAGTCCTCTGAGAAAGTGAATTTAAAGTTTGCATTCAGGTTATTTGTAGTTACTTAGTTAATGCTGCTCTTAACATCCATGTCCTTCATCCATGTACCTGGAGCTACATAGATTTTAGTTCGTACCTGTGAGATTTTTAATGATAGTTTAATAATTATATTAGAAAGATAATAAAGTGTTGGAATCTTGTTTTCAAGAGCAGTTCATTTTTACTTAGATTTTTATATAGATAACAATGATATCCTTCCTCAAAATTTCAAGTGTATATTTTTACTGCAAAGTTAAAATGGGGAAAGCATGATTAAAACACCGAAATCATATTAATACTTCTACTTTTCATAGGTGCTATATTTTTGTCGTATGTGAATACATCATTTACATATTTTCTGTGTTGAAGGTGTATAGAGAAGTTCAAAATTAATTTTATTTACTATTTGAACTTCTAAATGATGCGAATGATATATGAACATTTAATTACAAGTGTATTGAGAAGTTATTGGGTTTGAAAATATTTTACCAAGAAATGTATCATTGATTTTCTGAGCAGCAGAAGATAAAATTTGTTTTAATCATTTGCCAACATTATAAACCAAATTTTGAAGTTGTACCATGTTTTGTAAGCATTTTGCATTAGTGTTCAGTTGACAATTCATTGTAATTATGATCTCTTATCCCTGTAAGTGAGAAATTATTCATGTAAAATTTATTTTTTACTTATATATAATAACCATTTTAACAAAATTTTCCCCTGTGTGCACTGCAAAAGTATAATAGGTCTGCATGTCAAGGTATTTTTTTTTTCCTTTGAAAATTGTTACTATTGACACGTTTATTGTATTTTGCTTCAATGAAAAAGTTAATTTGACCCTTTGACTTCACTGATGACTCGTATTTGCAATTTTCAGTGAATCAAGCATGATTTTTGGAGCTCTGCGCTGTATGAACCCAGTTCACCTTCATTGTAATTAAATTTATTCATTTTATAATTTCTTTCATCTGAATTTAAAAAATTATGTATTTTAATGAAAGTAGCAAAAATATTATTTTCAAGGTGCTCAGGAAGTTATGAAAATATATTTCTAAGTTTTATTTTTTTGAAGCATTTGTCTACATTTAACTGTTTATAAGATACTGTAAATGATATATTCTACCAAAAAATTGTTTTTATTATTTTTTTTCTACCTTTTTGTATGGATTATACCCTTTGTGCTTTTAATGATTAAAATTATCATTGTTAAAATATTTGCAGGAGATGGCATTATTTTATTATGAAAATGATATTGTACCAAATTGTATATATCTTACATGTATAAAGTTCCATTTTCTAGTGTTTGTTCCTTGAAGTTTCTGTGAAAAGTCTGTAAATGAAAAAAAACAACTATTATATACAATATGTATTTAGATTTTTTTAGGAGAATAAATTATGTTAATATTCGTAATACTATTTTATAATATTAAATGAAATGAAAATCTACATTTTCAGAGGTTGGTTGTTTTTTTTTTTAACTTTCCAGCTACTGCTTGCACAGTATAGAGAAAGTTTTGTAATGCCGCAGGAAAAGACAGCAAAATTTTAACAGCAAAACTCTTATTGCAGGGCCCTGGTAACGAAAAGTGGATATATCTTGACCCTATATATAGTATATTACTTTCTCTAAAATGTTGTGAAGTAAGAATCCATGTATTGTGGGACCTTGATCCCGAAAAACTGACAGTAAAATGTAGGTCAACTCTAGCTCTAAACTGTGCAGCCAATTTTCTCTAAAATTGATTTTCCCCAGATGATCTGGCTAATGTTGCGGCATTGTATTTGAAACCAATATTTTAATTTGGTTGGTGGGAGGGCACATGAATCTCCTGGAATATTTCCAAAAAATTGGGTCCAAAGTTTGTGATAAAATTTTGTTGTCGATTAGCATAAAGGATTCTGAAGAGAATGGATAGGTCTAATTTTTGTTGAAAATACCTAATTTTTTTTGAAATTGCGAAAGTTCTTTTTTTATTGACATCGTCCTACAAGTAAAATATTGAAGATAAAGATGTTTTTCCATGAATGAAATCTGTTCTTTTAAGAAATTTCAAAAGAATGTAATCTACAATTTTTCAAAAATTTTAGTAATTTTGCTTGATATGTGGGCAATTTGTAATTTTTTTTTTTTTTTTCTCAAAAGTCACCAAATATTTTTAGTAAATTTTATCTTTGGATAGAGTAAAGAAAGCTTCACAGATATCAGTTGTTAAAATTCCTTATTTCAAAATTGCAAGAATTAAATAATTTTTTTTAGTGTGTTTCTTCAACTATAATTATGAAGAGTAGCTGATCTTGTTTAACACTCAATGTTATTTTAGACGGATCACTAATCTTCCCTGCCATGTAGACGTAACAGTTTACTTTGAAAGTTACACGTGAAAGTTTGACCAGTCTTAACAATTGGCTTGACTTTCCAATCTCCGTTGGCACTGAGCAACTGGTTTCATTTAATGTTGTAATCATGTTTTCCGTTATTTGCCTAATTGTAAATATATGGTATATTGGTCTATCTTTTCACAATCCGCATTCATACTTCTTGAGTATATTTTCAGCAAAGTAATTTCATTCCAAGGGTCGTATTTATAAACCTCTGCCAGCAGAGCTTTCAGGGATCTGCTCTCTGGGGGCTTCCTAAGAGGAAAGGGGCAGCTGCAATTTTAAAGTGTCCCTTAACTTTCCGCCAGGTAACAGCTTTCAGAAAGCTAGTTTGGGGCACGCTAAGGTGGAAATAGCACCACTATGACTTATACATGTATTTCCACCATGACTCCTACTATAAATGTATGGCAATGAAGGACCACAGATGCATTAATTAAAAATTCAAAATGAAAAAGAATTGTACGATCTTAAAAAAAAAAAAAAAAAAAAAATGAAATACTGTTAAAGAATGAAGAATTAAAGGAAAAAATATTGTTGAAGGAATTAGAAAATTTAAAAAAATAAAAGATTATGCGTCCTGAATTATTGTTTTTATTTGTAAACAACTACACTGAGCGTGTGCTACTAGGATAAATGATTGGTAATGCCTCTGTAGAGTTTACCATCAAGCTCGCCTCCTTTTGTATAATTAGGACACATATGCCACATTTTCCAATATTTTGGTATTTCATTTCTTTTCCAACACGTATCATTGAATGTTAGGCCTTCATCTATTCCTCTCTGCCAGCTTTTATCAATTCCCCGGATATTTCATCTTCTCCAAGTGCTTTCCTTTTCTTTAGCTTTTCACCCGTATCTCTTCTGTTGTTGGTATTTCTATCTCAGGTTTAGATTTTCTGACTGGGGGGGGGGGGGGCTCAGGGCATCAACTGATGTCACTGCAGTCCCTCTGACGGAAGTCTTGGGGTTCGAGTCCCGACGGTGGCAGGATATTCGACACTAGCCAGAGAGCTAGGTCGAGCGCTGTCGCTGTCTGAAGGAAAATTCTAGCGACGGATTCCAGAAGAATTCTGGAGCAGTACCCTACCAAACGGGCCAAGGACCGTGCGCGATTTTTCACTCCCAGTCTTTGCCCTATTCTCGCCCCTTTACACATACGCATGTACGTCTACCTCACCAGGAGACCGGTCGGGAGCTTACAGCTTGTACCGGGTGGGGCAGTGACCCACTGGTGGGAGACGCCTGGTTGGGGAAAACAACGCTAGCCGACAGTACACGGCGACTTACGTCCACGTCGGATCTTGCCATCCAGCGAGGCAAGATCACCACCTTCCGAGCATAAAACATGCACATTTCCATCAATGGCATATTAATAGAATATTAGATTACGAAGAAACATTCAAAACTAATCTGTAGTATAATAGAATACAATTAAATTGACGTATATTCTCTCTCGCCCATTCATCCACGACATGTTGAACTAGTCTAAAATTTCCTCACATGCTTCCTTCCTTCAGGGAAAAATTGTCCCAAACTTATAGTTATGTGCAGGCAGCATCACCAATTAATTCTGACTTTATCATTAATTTTAACATATAACACAATAAAATTAATACAAATTGTTTTAATTGTTATGTAATTTATTTTTACTTTTTGTAAATTGTAGTAGTTGTAATTTGTAGGAGGGGGTGTCGCAAGAGTTACTTAATAATTTAGGGGTTCAAGCTCGCGTTACAAGGGGTATTCAAAATGTTCCAAATTTACGTTACGTAATTCATGGACAGATCCTCAGCAGTTAACGTGCGCGACTTCACTGGTAATCAATAAAATTTTCCATTATGATCTTCTAATAGTTCTCTCACACTCACATGGTCGTCTTCATCACAGTTATTTAGCAGCTCATTATAATATTCAAGACTTTTCGCAATATTCTTTGTTGGTCTTCAACCAAATTTCCATTGCCTCCAAAAGTTTCCTTTTCATTAGGGTCTCGACGTCTCGCACTGCCGGATCCAGGGGGGTCAAGCCCCCACCCCAAAGGCCTAGAGTTTTCATTTATCTTTCTTTATTTGGAAAAACCGATTTAAATATTTATGTTCGAGTTAAGAAATTATTTAAACAGTATTGTCTAGTATATCTACAGTGCAGAAATATTATACAATATGATAACAAATATATTTGTTATTTAACACAAATCTACGATCCCTCCTCCCCCCAAAAAATGATCGGCTGGATCCGCCCCTTGATGTCTCGACTAGATGGTGGTCCAGATGATGGTCTTTAGATTTAGATTTATTCAGCCAAAAAACAGTAAAAACTGTATGTGCCGTAGGGGGAGAAGATTATATTCGCACGCTTTCTTGAGTCTTTCCACCATGATTCATCGCTCCATTGTCGAGACCTTGGTCACTGTGTAAGATATATTTCTTACAATAGGCGCGGATCCATGGGGAGGGGAACGAGGGAAATTCCACCCTCCCCCCCAAAAAGTTCAGAAACTATTAATTTTAACTTGTCACAAGACTTTAAAAAAAATCGGATTATCATTAAAACAAAATCTTATTTCAGCAAGAGCTGAGTGTAGGCTGCCACATTTTATAAAATATGTAATATGTAATATATATATATATATATATATATATATATATATATATATA